TAATGTGTTTCGATGATAATGCTATTATACTAATCGATATTAATTATTTAATTATAATTATACTAATTCTAATATACAATTATAAAGTTATTATAATTATTAATAATATGGTTAATAATTATATGTATATTATTGTCGTTGTATCGTCATATTGAATGGGTTCACTAGTGGAGTTTATGGATTTTAAAAAACAATATATGCCACATAATTGCATCACTGTGCTTGTTAGATATTTATTCTAGGTTTGAGAAAGAAAATCTCAAAATGAATAATAAACCTTATAGAGATTAGACGCAATATTGAATTTTATACAGATGAAAACAAGGCTTTGAAGGATAGACCTAGTCTTTAAAATGTGTTTTGCACTAAATAAAGGTCCTAGAACCCATAATTTTCACAACTTCCAAAAGAATTTTAACCACTTCCGAAAGACATTTCACCAGCTGAACAATTGGTATGATGTTAAACAACAGTACAATCCATTGAACACGCTGGTCTTCTGTCCCTTACAGCCTTAGTTTAATTCCTGTCAAAAATACATTTTGCACTACACTGCTTAAGGTCTATAATGATGAATTTGATCTGTTTGCTGTTCATTTATGGTCATGCAGATGTGTTGGAGAAAGCTTACCTGGGAAATGTCCACAACTGTGTGTATTTTTCTGTGAGGGTGTTGGAGAATCAGTTTGAGTAAGTCTGATTATTATTTAATTACTGCTCACTCAGATCGGTCTCCGAGTGTCTGACTTTCTGTCTTCTCTGTTGGTCAGGTTGGTGTCACACCTGGACAAATGCACGCTACGGCTTCTGTCTGAGAATGAGAGAGTTGGGACTTTCTCCTCATCGCTGAAAGATCGTCTGGCACAAGCTCAGGACAACTGCACAGCTAAAGTAAGCATTAGTTTAAAAGCAACCAATAAATTACCCTTTGAAAGCTCACACTGAATAATCCCCACACTTCCTCAGGTGCTCCCCAGTCCACCTTTGTTCATTCATTCAGTCCCGTTCCAGCCCGCCACAGACAACCGCTCCAATTTTAGCAGTGATAGGGCCTTCCATACCTTTAAAAAGCAAAGGTACGCTGCAAACCATAAATATTTTTCAAATATATGTGACGTTTCAGGCTGTTTATCAGTTTATGATATGATTCATGTTATCTTTTCTGCTTTTGTAGGGATGTGTTTTACGGTTTTCTCAGAGAATGGGAGGACTCTCATAAAGAACCTGGCTGGGATTTTGAGGCTGCATTAGGCAGTAGAGTCAGGTGACTTTTTTTTAAATGGACATTTTATGCTCTTTTGGTATGATATACATATCCTCCCTAAATCATTTTGATTGTTTTTCCTGTTGTTATTTTTTATATATATATATATATATATATA